CACACACACACACACACACACACACACACACACACACACACACACACACCATAATAGAGAACAAATGACTATAAATTAAGTTAAAAGAAAAAAGCCTTAGTAATTTTTTGGCCCTATCTAACCAATAAATGTTATAGGTATACTTTACCTTAATTTCTATCCTTGCTCTGTGAGGAAAAAGTTGTCCAATCATAGAAAAGTCAGTTCCTACCATGCTGATGGCTAAAAAAAACATATCTGTTTCTGTAAAAAATAAAAGATTAACTGAAAATTAATTTTCTGTTCAGACAAAATAACCTAAGTATATTAGTTAAAAATAAGTTATACAACATTTAATTTTATTGAAAAGAAATTCAAAGAATTCTAAGCACCCTAATACATTTAAAGAAAAAAAATCTCCATAGGTAAGTGTAGTGGTACACTCCATAATCCCAGAACGCAGGAGGCTATGGGAACAAGGACTGCTGAGTTCCAGAACTCATGGTGTGTGTGGTGCAAGATTCTAGGCCTGGATTCTACCTCAAGCCTGGTGGGATATAAGCCACAGTTTGTGAAACCCATCTGACAAGACCAGATTTCCTGGTCGTGCCCTGCCCCATGTAAACCTTCTAACTTGCTCTGTACTTACCAGGTCAGGATTCTTGCTCTGTACCCAACAGGGACAACTAAGGAGGTAAAGTAGGTGGCCCAGGAGACAACTAAAATGATCACACCCCCACGCCAAAGCGTCCCTAAAAGCTTGATCATCACATGGACCTGCTGGGACACAGAGAGAGCCACCCAACCAGGTAATAAACCAAACTTGAGATAAAGGGGTCTCTGAAAATAGAGTTTATTGAACCATGCTGTTGCTAGACAGAAATGAAGGACCAGCCCTGGGACAACTTCCACAGCTACCAGCAGCACACTGAAAAGCATTTGAAGGGAGTAACCAACCAATAACTGATCTGACTTAAGTCCCACTCCATGAGATGGAATCCATATCCAACACTGCTTGAGTGACCAAGAACCTGAGACTAGTTAGCCCAATGACCTAGGGCAAAATCAAGTAATTCTGGTCTAAAAGGAAAAAAAAAATTGTAGTGATAAAATGACTCCTAATGATATTATGCTATACTCATAAATCATTTCTTTGCTCAGCCATTATCAGAGAAGCTTCCTCCTGCAACAGATGAGAACAGATGAGACCCACAGCCAGACACTACTCAGAGTGAGAGACCTTGGACCACTCAGTCCTAAACGGGATGTCTCCACCAAAGCCCTCCCCTCAGAGCTCAAGAGAATCCATGGAAGAGGAGACAGACAGAAAGAGGGTAAGAGACAAAGGGGATGAAGGACACCAGGAAAACAAGGCCCCTAAATCAACAGGAGCAAAGCTCATCTGAACACCCAGACACTGAAGCACCACGCACAGGGTCCGCACGGTGTTCACTGGGTCCTCGACATATTATGGCTTCTAGTTTCGTGTTCTTATAGGATTCCTGACTGTTTGTCTGTCTTCTCCAACTCTGATGTGACAGTTTTTGTTTGACCTTATTATATTTTGTTACATTTTTAAAAAATGAATGAATGCAAACCTAGCCAGTAGGGTAAAGGTTATCAACAGAATTGTCATTTATATCTGCTGGGAGAGGGAAAATCAGTTTTCTCAATGGAATGACACTGGTTTATCAACCACTCCAGGGCAGACCTCATATTCAGTAGCTGACCAACAAATAACAAATTCCACAGGTGTGTGTGTGTGTGTGTGTGTGTGTGTGTGTGTGTGTGTGTGTTCGCTCGCGCGCGCATGCGCGCGCACTTTTATCGGTTACAATTTGGCAGGGTTTTTTGTTGTTGTTGTTGTTGTTTTTCTTTCCTTTTTGGGTGATGCTGTATTTTGCTTTCTAGGCTTTGGCTGTTTTGCTGTTGTACTGGACTTTTCATTTATTTTTTGAGAAAGAATCTAAAAGTTGGGTGAATAGGGAGGAGGAGAAGATCTAGATGAACTTTGGGGAAGGAAAGAATATGATCAAAATATATTTAAATTTAAAAACTGGGGGTTGGAGAGATGGCTCAGAGGTTAAGAGCACTGGCTGCTCTTCCAGAGGTCCTGAGTTAAATTCTCAGCAACCACATGGTTCACAACCATCCATAATGAGATCTGGTGCCCTCTTCTGGCCTGCAGGGATACATGCAGGCAGAGCACTGTATGCATAATAAATAAACAAATCTTAAAAAAAAAAAAAAAAAGAATAAATTTAAAAATTGTTTTAAGTTAATAAAAATAATAATAAAAAACTGCACATAGTAGATGCTGAACCTTATTACTATCAAGCAAATGTATATTAAGATAAAGGAGTAATTTGGAATATAATATTTCCATAAGCTAATAAAACTTACAAAATTATTATTGGCAAAGCTGTGGGAAAATAATACTTTTTATAAGCAACTGGTAAAAATATAAATTGATGGGGCTTTTGTGTTTGGCCACCTGTAGGAAATAAAATACCTAGTGACTGGCAAAAAGAGGAAAAGAAAAAAAGAAAAGCACTTAGAGAAATGTTCACTGGACCTGGGGGTTGTGGTGGTTTCTAACATGCTGAGGAAAGGAGGAGGGCAGTGAGGGGATGTGACAAGCCTGACAGATCTCATCTCAGAAGAAACAGAAATGGTAATAGTCAGAACAGCACACAGTATTTCTTTTGCCCTATATCCTGCCATGCTTAAAAAGGTTTTCACAAACTCTATTTTTATACTAAAAAGCAGTTAAGTACCACCATGAAATATGAAATTGTTTATTTTAGGTAAGATCCTTTTTTATTAAGATTCTATTTATTACGGTGGGGGAGGAATGGAGACAATTTCTCTGTGTAGACCAGGCTGGCCTCAAACTCAAGAGATCCACCTGCCTCTGCCTCCCAAGTACTGTGATTAAAGGTGGGAGCCACCACCACCTAGAGAGATAAGATTCTTTATGTAGGCCAGACAGGCCTCAGACTTGTGATCCTCCTGCCTAAACCTCCTTAATGCTTGCCTTCTAGCTATACACCTTCACTGTTGGGGAATGCCTACAGAAACGTTATTATTCGATGTTTTCAAGGAGAACATTATGATTAGAAATACGGGAAACAGAATGCTCCACTGGCACAAAGGGCTAGTGTATGGTGCTTACACAGAACATTATTCACCTAAAGGTTGCTTCTTTGTACAATTTGAAAAAGATGAAGAATCCAGGCAAAATGATCAAAATGCTAATTCTTAAAATGATTTCTAGGGTAAAGTGAAGATATGGTAGAGGAAGGAGGGAGGAGGAAGGGGCACCAATAAAATTACGTGGACACAAGACAACATGACAGTTCACATCTTCTTTACAAGAAGTCTGATTTAATAGAAAACTTATAGTTCATTTCAAAACAACAGCATACAACTTTTAGTGAGAATGAGTTACCTTTATTTGACCATGGTTTTGAGTAATAGTTTTTCCTGAAGCTGGAATATGTAGTTGTTGAGCCTCGCTCAAATATTGGATCATTTTCCTCAACAACACAGGGGCCTTTTGTTCTCAAAACTTCTACAGTTAAACTGAAAGAAAGACGTTTTCAAATAGAATCACACTAAAAACAACTATGAAAAACAATAGATGAGATTTAACTAGCCGTATTCTAAAATTTACCATAGCAGTAATACCAAAAATATTAGATATATTTGAAAAATGATATTTAAATTCAAAATATGTATTTTCCAAACGTTATTCCTAAGAGGCAGGAATAAATGCCAACCTGTTTTCATTATAGTATTTTTAAAATAACTTTGGTCTACCTATTGCCATTTTTGCTTTTCTGTCTGTCTGTCTGGTTTTTTAGACCAGGCTTTATGTAGTACAGGTTTCCTATTCATCTACATCTACATCTTCCCACATGCTAAGATTGTGGGTATGTGCCATCACAACTGTTTTATTCTATCGGTTTCTACTGTCTTCTGGGCTAGTATCACATTAACTATTAATGACATAAAATCACCATCACATATAAAAATGTATTATCAATATTATATTTATATTTATTATAGTCAAATTTAAATGTTATATACATTTTTACTAACCAAACTTTCAAAACCTTTCATTTCTCTTTATTAACTAATCCCTTATAAAATATATACTTTAGAGCTGGCGATGGATCAGCAGTTAGGAATTGCTTGATGTTCCTAATGACTTATTATATACACCCACACATCAGTGCAACTCTCAGGCCTCATCTGGGAAACTTATATTTGCAGTAGATGAGGATAACAGAGACCCACAAGGCCAAAGTGCAGAAAATAGAAGAGACTACAAAATATTCAGCCCTAAATGCACCATATGTAACAGGTACTCCTCCCAAGGCTCCAGAATCACTATGAAGAGAGGGTAGAAAGAATATAAGAGCCAGGACGACTACAAGAAGACATCTTCTGATCACAGAGCAAGCTAGCAGCTACACAGAGGAACACACAGTGACTGTTACAGCGTGCAAAAATCCTCTGCAAGCCTGAACTAGAACAAATGCCAGCACAGAGAGGGGTGTCGAGCGAGCACGAAACCTCACCACTACCTGTGCACCAGATAGCAAGCGGTAGCTGCTGGTAAAGGGAGAGGTACGAGTTCTCTAAGAACGCATTTCCTAATAAGGTGACCATGCTCCAATGGAATACCATACACCCAAGAATATTTGGGTAGTACTCACTGGTCTTGAAGGGTTTAAAAAAAAAAAAAAAACAACAAGGGAATGAAGTGGATCTGGAAATATGATCAAAACATGTACAAAATTTAAAATTCTCAATGATTAAAAAACAAATATGTGTATGTGTGTATTTAAAAAAAAAATGCTTGCTGCTCTTCCAGTACTCAAATTCAGTTCCCAGCACCCACATCAGATAGCTTAGAATCACATATAACTCAGATTCCAAGAGATCGTCCATTATGGCCATATACCAAAATATGAAATTAGGGTAAGGTGTAGTGACATATAACTTTAATCCTAGCAGTCAGAAGGCAGAGAAAGGTGGAACCCTGTAAAGTTCGAGGCCAACCTGGTCTACAAAGTGAGTTCCAGGCCATCCAGGGTTACACAGTGAGACCGGGTTTCAAAAACTCAAATGAACAAAGTGAAATTAGTGAATAATGTGATAAAACCTAAATACCAACTTCAAGACTGAGTAAATCCTAGAATTCCACCCTCATTGGATAATAGCGCACAGCTGACTCAGAAGCTGGACTGGGTTAACAGCACGGGAAGAAGTAAAACAAAGTCAGGGTGACAGAAAACAGGACAGTGATACATCCCACGCAAAACATGCTAAAATTACAAATTAATTTAGTCCCCCTTTCTGTTTCCAATATTCCTGATGTAAATACACAGTGGGGTTAGAGTTATACTGACAGATTCAGAAAAGAACCTCTCCTTAGACACACAACATGTGTTCTCTGCCATCACCTCCCTCCTCCCTCTCACCCCATCTCCTTAACTCACCTTTCTTCATCTAAAATAATAGAGCCATCTTCTGCCACTTTGACTCGGGGAACCAGCAGTGGCCCGTCGTCCGCCTCCTCCTCCACCTCTCCATTACTGTCAGCATCAGGAGCGCTCGGACTCTCCTGTCTACTAAATGTAAAGAGTCCATTAGCAACAAAACACAAGCATTTCCTGAAAAGTCCAGATTCAAAACAAGTTATTAAAAAAGCAACACTCCAGCTACTTCAAACTTTCCCTATAACTTAACTGACAAAAAATGACCTACCAGTCATGGTGGTACACAATGTAATCTTGGCAATAAGGAGGCCCCTTATCTCTTTAACTCATACAGAAACACATGAAAATTGCAGAGTAATGCTATCATGTGATGTTTCCATTGATTAAATATATAGTATGATGTTTAAATTAAGCTAAATATTTCTATCTTGTCAAACATTTCTCATTGCTTTGTGGTAAAAATATGCAAAATCTATTTCCCTAGCTTTCCGAACTATCTATACTAGCTTATCTTTTTTGAGTTCTCTTTTATTTCTTAGTCTAGAAGTAGGATCTTGCTCTGAAGCCCTAGGCAGGCTGGGCCTCACTATGTGGCTCCATGCTAGACTCAGCCTCAGCCCTCAACTGCTGGGCTCACAAAGGTCCAGCTCTCAGGTACTCAGTCAGCCTGAGGTGCAAAAGCCCAGCACAACTCCTTGCTCCTATCCAATTATAACTTAGTTTTTCAAAAGATGAATCCAAATCTTACAATCCACTACAATGTCTGCTTAATATTTTATTGAAGTACACATAAATTATAAATCTGGAATGATGTATTTAAAAATTGGTGGGCTGATGAGATGGCGTGGTGGGATAAGGTACTTGCACAAAGCCGGATGGCCTGAGTTCAATCTCCAGAACACAGACTCCCACAAACTATCTTCTCACCTCCACACTCTCGGTGGCATGCATGTGCCTACATATAAACACACAAATACGCACTGCACACACACACTAAACACACGTAATGAAAATAAATGTGCTCTTTTAAGTGGTAACATGTTGCCTGGGAGAGGGGGAACTACAGACTTTTAAACCACAAAGAAACAAAAGTGGGAAGACGTTTGTCAACATTCCCTTTGTTCCTGTTGAATCTTTTGCCACTTAAAGCTACTATTTTCCTACAACAAACAACTCCATTTGCTGGGCATAGTGGTGCAAGTCTTTAGCCCTAGCACTCAGAGCCAGAGGAGGCTGATTTCTGTAAGTTCAGGGCCCAGCCTGATCTACACAGCAAGTTCTAGACCAGCCAAGGCTGGTCTAGTGAGACTCTGTCTTAAAATTTGAACATCTTTAATTTAAGGCCAGTGAGATGAGATGGCTCAGCTGGCAAAGAAAGGAACTTGTAGTCAAACCTGACAACCTGTGTTCAATACATGGAACACAAATGTTGGAAGAAGAGAACTGACTCTCGGGCTGTCCTATGACCTCCCAAGCTGTGGCACTCACATGGACACGAAGACACATATATACAAGTATAAATGTAAATCATATTAGTCAATTACATATTTATTACACAAATATTGTAGACCTTTCATTCTGAAAGGGTGTGGGGGGGGGTGTATGTGTGTTTGTGTGTGTGTGGGTATGTGTGTGTGTGTGTGTGTGTGTGTGTGTGTGTGTGTGTGTGTGTGTGTGTGGTGTGGGGGTGTGGGGGTGTGGGGGTGTGTGGTTTTGAGACAGGTTCTCCCTGCGTAGCTGTTGTGTGACAATTTCCTCCAGAACAGAACCTTCTGTGTGAGTGCGAAGCTTAAGACATGGATGTCCCTAGAGAAAAGCTTCATAAGCTCAAGAGGCTTCAGGAAGTCCCTAAAACTGAAGACTGAGAAACACTCTCAGATAAGCCACGCTGACTAGAGGAGACTCAGGCCAACTGAGCCGTGGTGTCTCCAACCTGTTGAACTGCCTCCATGCTGTGCAGAGTGCCAGGTTCCCAGCTTTCATGAGTCATCACCCATGCCGGGTTGGGCTCTGGTGATGCAGCTGTCTTTGAAATAACTTATGCTCTTGTAAGTAACCTCTCACTTGTATTCCTGATAATTAACACCCGTAAAACTCACTGGTTCACCAAGTTGGACTCTGGTAGTATCCTTATGGGTCTGTCGCCAGCAGCTTATCTGGGGCAAGTAGACATGTATTCACATCGCTCCAGAAAAAATGTTGAACATCAATAGTCCAAGCTAGCCTTGAACTCGAGATCCTCCTGCCTCAGCTTCTTAAGGGCAAGGATTAGACACATAAATTACTATGCCCAGCTAGAGCTTCTATATTTCTTTCTTTCTTTCTTTTTAGAAACAGGGTTTCTAAATGCAGCCTCAGCTATCCTGAGAGCAACTATTCTTAAATGAGTCCCTTTTTAGGAACCAACCAAATGGAATTATAGTACAACAGAAAGCTCCATTTGAGAGCTGGGAATAGGGAGTGTTCAGTGGATAAATGTTTGCCCACAAGCGTGAGGGATTGAGTTTGGATCCTCAAAACCCATGTAAAAAATGGGCAGGCCTAGCAGCCAGCACTCAAAATCATAGACAAGGGATTTCAGAAGCAAGCTGATTAGACAGACGAGCCAAAATCAGCAAGAGACCTTGCCTCAATAAATAAAGAGCAACTGAGGAAGACAAACACATGTGCCTAAATAAGACACATGTGCAAACACACATGCATGCCAAACATGTATATGCAAAAAAAAAAAAAAAAAAAGGAAGGGAGGGAGGTAAGGAAGGAAGGACAGAAGGAGGGAGGAAGGAAGGGAAGAAGAAAGGGAGGAAGGAAGGAAGAAAAAAGAAAGGAAGGAAGGACATTAGCTTTCATTTTAAAAGTGTATCCAATGGCTGGGTGTAGCTCAGTGGTGGGGCATCTGTGTGTGGCCCCAACGTGGTGGCCAGCAACAACAGAAAAGCACCTAATACAACAGATTGAAAAAGAGCAAGATAAGATGCTCACTCTTTTGTCGGGGTGGGAGCCAAGGACTTTTCAGCTTTCTTTTCTTGTTCCACTGAAGAACTGTTAAGTACAAATAAAAGAATATTTTTAATAAATTGATATTTTATCAATTCTATCTACAGCAAGAAGAAAATTCCCTTAGCTTCCATTTTTAATGCAATGTACTATAACACTTCATTACTAATGTTCAGCAGTCACTTTTTCACTTATGCCTAGGCAATGAGCTCAGTGAAGGCCGAGAATGAACTTGATTCCCAACACATACCCCAACCTAAATAAATAAATCAATAGAGTATTTTCCAGTCAAAAACTCATCAATTACCAATATCTGCTGGGCCCTGGATTAGAAATGTTTCTCCCCTCTAACTCCTTAGTGAAAAGAGACTCTCAGTCCTGGGAAATGAAGGAGTCTATGTGACTCATCTCCAGCAGCTGGTTGTCAAACTCAAACTTGGGTTTCTGGCCCTTCCTTCAGCAAGGCCAACAAAGACCGGGTGACAGCAAAAGAAGTTCACACGGAAGAATGCTAATTCCACACCCTACACCACCAAAACCACAAGGAGCAGATTTCTAAGATTTCTGCTTCTACCTCAGGCTAACTTTAAGCTTGTTCATGAAGGACTTGTTACTCAAATTGCATCATTACTAATGAAATAGGGCATAAAAACTATACCTTCCTTTATATCACATCGTAGTGTGTAAGAAATAGAATCCCAATAATTAAAACAATAAAAGAGCCCCTCTTAATCTTGGAGATAAAGGAAGGACATCATTTTCATCCCAGAAAGTAGTCACTTGATAGACCATGGATGTGATTACCGCACATCGGAAGAACATCAGCTTAGACCTGAGCAGCAGAGGAGAAAAATGTGTCTATCCTCATTTTGCTAGAAATTTATCTTACCAACGAGTTTCTGAAAAACAAGAAACTGTACTCTAAAAGTGCCCTATCACTACATACCCAATGAAATAAAAGCATAGATAAATTTACTTACGTCATTGGATTGTTATCTGGTAAGTAATATATGAAGTCTCTCATAGTCATTTTTGAACGATCTAGTGGCCTCTGGCTTTCATTTGTGGCAAATTTGTTTTTCCATTGTTTCTATATACAGAGATTTTATAAACAGAACAATTTCAGACACACTAAACTCAAATATATAACCCACTTATTTAAAGTGCTTTAATATTATAATTATGACTAATTTTAAGAAATCATTTACAACCTGAATATTGTATTACACAATACCCTTAGTAG